AATATTTCTACATTTTATTAAACAACCTTTATTTTAACGTACAGACACTATAAAATTTATCGGACATTCGACGTATAGTTAAAATTCGGACGACAATTTAACTTTGTTTTGTATTAAGATTTTACCAGCGCTTTTATTCACAAACCAACCAATCTTTATCTCGTCCTTATTTTATATAAAAATGTCTCTTCTCAATTATTAGCAGATATAATTTTTTTATTCTATATCTTCTGGTGTTCACGTTAAAACAAGGAAAAATCAGTGGCCATCTGAAACCAGTCTGTTTGAAATAATCTATGCACCGAGGTCTATACAAATTACACGTCGTTGTAGAGCTGTGATCGGGCGCTCGGGGCTAACGTCTCGAACGTCTCGGCTGTCTTACAACACGTGTCCCTGATTGCCCCCAATTGGCGAGCGAATAAAAACAATCGTCGCTTAAAAATAGCCGTGATTTCATACAACACGTGATGGATGTTAGCTTTAGGAAGAGTTCCCACAGCCTGGGCCATGTGAAATGTCCTGTAGCCGCCGTCACAGGCGACGCCTCAGTGAAAATAATCTTAATGAAGAACTGCTGCTTCGGATTTTAATAGATGTTGTTTTTTTTTAAAGCAAATGTTAGGACTTTAATCTAGTTATGTTTGGGCAAATCCCTACTAATCATATGATTGTGATAGTTAATAAAAATAATTGTTCCCTTGAATAGTTTCAAAGTTTTGTGTTTGAGCAAATTTAATCTTTTCAAAAATCTGTAAATATAAAGAATAAATATGATTAATGTTGCCTATAGTTAAAAAAGCTAAACGCAAATACAGCTACTATTTAATAATATATTAATTGCGTACAACTCCCAAATCTTCATCATACGTCCCCACTGAGGGACTCGGAGCATACCTTATGCTAGGGTTGACAAAGCCATAGTCAACCACGCTAGCCAAGTGCGGGTTGACTTCACACATATCTTTGAATTTCTTCTCAGATATGTGCAGCATCACGATGTTTTCCTTCGTCTTAAGAACATCGGATAAATGAACGTATGTAAATTGGAATCCAAAAAACACATTGGTACATGGTGGGATTCAAACCCAGGACCTACAGCTTGCAAGTCAAGTGCTTAAACCCCTGAGCCACCGACGCTCTGTATATATTCCCAAATCATTATGACCTAAATTACTTGCTCAACCAACTATAAAATTAAAGCTACCATATTCCACAATGTTCTACCATAAGGCGTGATTGAGGTCAATCAGTATCCTATTTTTTGTAAAGATGGAACAAGGAACAGGATCTTCCGGGGATGTACCACGCTCCATTGAGCGCGCTGACCATATGGTGAGCATCGCGACCATCGGTTTTATCACCATGTGATATCAACATCCGCCACACTTCACTCACAATCACATGTAGGTCGCACTCAGGAAATAAAACCGCGAACTATTTTTCCCATGAACTGTTTTTAGAATAAGGTAAATTATTAAACAAATCCTTTTTTTTAATTTTGTTGTGTCAAGAAATCACAGACCATGACGCGTTTGTTTTTAAACTGGAATTGACCCCGTCGAAATTTTCAATTCTTTATTTGATTATTATTAATGATATAATTTCTTAGGCCTCTTATATTACTTACGCAGTGACTGAGTTAAAATTTTTACCAATCCGTTTCCGGGTATTAATAAATTCATACATACAACTTATGCGTTTTATTTGTTTCCCTTTGGACCGATCAGCGATCTATGGAATTTTGTTTCTTTTTACTTTTATAACTTTGTTTCTTAAATAAAATGCCACAGCGCCATGCTGGTATGTAACATAAAACTCTGCTCTTGTTAATCAGTGATTTTTTTATGTTCCGCAGAGTTGACAATGCAGTTACGCACATCCGTTCTTGCAGCCACAATGCCGATGCGTGGGGCAATTTAATTACTCAATTAATACCATTAAAGTAACATGCATTGGAATTAAAAAAAAACTATTTCAATAACTTTCAAGGACATTTAAGACATCGTGTTAAAAGATTGAAGATAAGGTATTACTTAATTTTTATTTAATTCTTCATATCCATAGCAATACGTCAGAAATGGTCATAATGGACAATAACACTGACAAAAAACGTTGATTGGTCTTTAACAATTTGTAAACTGTAAAAGGGTCAACATAAGTGCATTAAGCCAGTACCAAGCTTTCTTAAGGACTAAGCCATTACTCAATCGGAAATGACATCGCTGATAAAAAGCAGACGTAATATCTAACAAAGACCGGCATAATGGTCTCTCACTCTCACAATATCTACACAATTCTAGTAAATGCTAATTTATCATAGTAAAAAAAAACATAAGAATACACCGTCTTTCACACAGGGATTATGCGCCAAATGTCAGTTGTACGACAACGAATAGTGTTAAGAAAGGACAATGTTATATTAATTAAGAAGTACAATATTTAATAAGTAAAATCTCGAAATCATAAACCATCTGGGTCATCGTAAATCAGATGCATAGCTATTAAGAAAGTACAACAAAGAACCACCATAAAAAGACATTAAAGCGTTCCAAATACGTGCGTTATTTGAGCATCAATCCGTCGAGCGCATATCGTGCGAACGCATTATAATAGGAGGATATTATAATAAACAGATCCCGGGCCCCTCGCTCTCCCTCCCTAATAAATATTAATGTATGAACTTGAATGCCCCACAATGCCCGACAACCGATGCTGGTACATTGACACTCAATTTGCTTTTTTGCCAGCCCCGCGGCCGCTATCTCGACCGAGTTATCTTTGTTCTTACTTTCACGTACGCTATGTGCGATTAGCATTATTAAACCATAGTTGTTATGTACCAAATAAAGCTATAAATTTATGGACGACCTATCAATCATAGCTATTTGTATAAACAAAAAGTTATTGAATAGTTATACAGCTTATTACTTACGTTATTCATAGATATCGGGTAATAATAATTCTTGTCCTTCGTACCTAATTAAAATTGTAATAGACCTAGTAATAAATGTACAAACAAATTTAGGAGAACAATAAATTAAATGATAAACAAGATCATCTCAAATGCTCGACTAATTAATTATAACCATTAAATTAATGATAGACGAGTGAATCGGAAGTGGGCGGAAGGGTCACGTGCAAACAGCAAGGGATGACGAGAAAAGTTCCCTGTCGACTTTCCCACGCCACCCCACGGTCAAGGGGAAACCCCACTTGTTGGTTTTGTACTGTGATCGACCCCCTCGTGCTGTTTCCGGACACAATGCTAATAACAATTGCGTCAAGTTCTAACACTACACCGCACGTCTATTCATGCATTTATCAATGAATAGATAACAATATTTCAATTGTTGTATTTTCGTATTAAAAATATCTTTATGTTTACATTCTTTTTTTAATGTTTAATCATAAACATTTGGGAAAACAGGGGCGTCATCTCATTTTGAACTCTACAACTAAACTTTCTTATGTTATATTTTAAATCTTACTGCATTTATAAAGTTATAACATATATAATATAAGTGCCTAAGATTTTCTGTTTATTCAATCTTAGAGTGAAACAATAGTCCCTTAGTGTAGGTTTTATGAATAGACGACTCTGGGGGCGGCCGATAGGCGCCAGTTTAATTCAAAACAAATGAAGTATAACGATCTGAATCGTATTTAATGAATACTAATGATGGTTGTCTTTAAAATGTCTATCAGAGTGGGACGTAAATGACGTACAATAGATTGTGGCCCGTGGACAAAGACCGGTGCAGTGGGCGGACCTGATATTCAAAGTGCGGACCTCTTTCAAGGCATTGCTCCGTTTTTTACTAAAAGAAGGAATACTCTGTTCGAAAATAAAACATTAGTTTTGTACACACTATGAATGCTAAAGTGATTATAGATAAGTTTCGTTTTTAAATTAGTAACAACGTATTGTGAGATTGGAGTCCTCTAGTATAATTTAAAAAAAACTAAAAAAAAATCATACTGAATGCAATAACATGACATTTTTTGTATCCCCAACAACTAAAGAAAATAAAGTTAATTGTTTTCAGTGCAAACATGTTATATGTTTGACTTTTTATAATTCAAACCTAACGTTTCAAAGACAAGGCCTTTAATTTTTCTAAAATGATATTAACTATCGTTTAACCGACAGTTTAATCTTACTAATATTAAAAATGCTCATGTTTAGATGGATGGAAAGATGAATGGATGTTTGTTTAAAGGTGTCTCCAGAATGGCTGAACGAATCCGGCTGAAATTTGGCATAGACGTAGAACATAGTCTAGAAGAAAACATAGGCTACTTACTAATTAGGTTTTTTTCCTTAATTCCTAGCGGACGGAGTCGCGGGCGACAGCTAGTATTTAATAAACACAATATTATCGTGCAATAAAGGTTTGAAATTATGCAGCTGCATTAGCATTGAATCATACTTTAAATACTTTACACATTATCTGAATATTAATATGGCAAAAAACAACAATTCAATGTTAATTTTACACATGCAATATGTTAGCGGAGGTTCATTCTGCCACGGACTTTGCCTCGGGGTAAATTGACTTCTTTTTAATATTATTTGATAAATGTTTAAAATGCTTGGAATAGTCAGAATGTGGGCGATAAGCTATAATTTAGCAAATTGACTATTAGTCGCGATGAGATAGGATTTTTAGGTCTTTGTAATTTTTTGTTTTTAAAAATCAATAATACTGGCTTTAATAATGTTGTCTGAAATTATAATCTGTATTTTTATAATAGTGATTTGTATTCGAAAATTAAATAAAACAGAATGATGCTTTTGCAAATTACAAAACTTCAAACTATACATAATAATAAAAACATATCAATAAGTTAATATCGGGGCTTTGAATTCAATAACGACCTTGTTTACTTTTTATTACAATTAAAGTAGGTAAACATGAAAACTTGTGACGAGTTTAACAGACATTAATTACATTATTCATATTTATAGAATTAAACAATAGGCCAGTTTTACGTACCTGCCAGTCCAGTCGCACTGATCACTGATAATCCCCGCCTCTGCAACGTTCATCACACCCAAAACAAGACAAAAGTTCAAAACAACTGTCTTCGTATTCGTACGCATCTTAAATTATGTTTTAAAACAGTCAATTAAATTTAATACACTGTCCTAATACGACCACATCACTATTTTCAAAGTTTTCATTTCACCTAAGTTCCATTATAATTTTTGTATACAAAAGTTTTGAGTTGACACAGAAATAAACAACACGTATCGGAATGGCGCGAACGACAACCCTGCTCAAACTTCAAAATACTACTGACGTTAAGAAAGAAATCAAAGATAGAATGAAAGAGACTGATTCCGCCTTTTAGCGCCCATAAGAAAAACTGTGAGCGAGAAAGAGATAGTTGAAGCTATTATGATGAGGCGACCGGCGATATATTCCTGTCTCTTGTGTTCCATTTTTTTTCATCGCAAGCAAAACTGTACCTTAACTCCATTGAACAAGGTGTAAACCATAAAACGATTGAAAGCTTTACAAAAGCTCGATGAAAAGGCGGGAAAGGTTTGCAAAAGCTCATGGTTCTCTTTACTTGAAATCGACAGTTTACCATATACGAGAGAGTTTGTTTTTTTTTCTTACTTTCTACATAATACAATCATTTCTGTGCATTTATCGTAGCATTAAATTTAAAATAAAAACTTAAAATTGATGAACATATTAAGTTAATGTTAAGTTGCACTTCACTGGTTGAAAGTCTTATAAGAAAATAAGTCATACTAAGAAATACAATTAAAAAAACGTAAGTCATTATCATTAATGATAATAATTCAAGTAATTAGGTACAAAGAGAACGTTTAATACAATACTTTCTTTTCTTTCATTTGGTTATTTAAAAAATTAAGACAAAACAAAGTTACACTCTGAATCCCTATTTTTATTATTACCTATCACCTAAGTTAATGTTCAGTAACTTTTACTAAAATAAATTCAACTTACTTGAAACAGTTAGGGATGGAGAATTATATTTTTTATATTTAAAACATTTTTCGTCTCATCTATGATTCATCCGCCGCAGCCATTACCTCACCAAAGTAATAATTACCAACCCTACTTTTTTGTACATGACGAGGCACATCCCTAAACCCTTAGAAGGTATTTCAAACTAACTAAAGACTTAATAGATGAATTTGTAAGCTTTTGGATATCGTTAGATAATATTAGTAATTATCAATGAATGATGACTTTTTTTTTTAATTCTAATGGCTTGTTTAATTTTAAATTGCCATTTTTGTAATCGATATTTGAAATATAAATAAGTATTAATATATCATACATTTGCTTTTTAATTTAAAACAATGGTTTAAAATATCAAACAATAGTTTTATGATTTTGAAGTATTATCATTCATGTGATCTTACGTGCGGCCAACGGCCATGTTTGTATAGATAAGCTAAATCAATAGGCCGTGTTTGCGGGTCTCCAGATAGCTGCTTTGTCGCTTTGTCGCGTGCTTACACAGGCCCTGATTCGTCTCCTTATCTCTTACATTTCGTCGCAACTTGACTCATGTTGTATTTAAACGGAAAAATGTTGATTACTAGTTATGTGAATTATTTGTTTTATGGATATATCCAGTCAGAGTTGACAAGCCTCTAGAGAAAGTCATATTCGATCAAAATAACAAGTAAGGAGGTGACATGTCAAAATTATTGTCTGTTAGATAATTTTTTTTATTTTTCGAATGTTACTTTGTGGGAAAGACCGTTTACCAGATACCGGTCCCTAGCCAAATGTTATCTGTACCTATGACGATCATCTCATAAATACATACGTACAGACTTCATAACAATATTCATATAAAATACTTTTATTTAATCTTAACTACATCCTGTGGCCAGATGTATAAACAATAATATTATGTTTCGCACTAAATCGTCGGTACACTATGAAGCAGTTTTAATGTTGACATACCATTATGATATCAGACACCGAATAATCTATTGTGTGATTTAAAAACAAAACCCTAGTCTAATTTTCATTAGGTAACTATATCTTTGGTTTTTGTCGGACTATTCAAAACTTATTACAAATGAATGAATGTGATTCGTTATACCAAGTGATTAATTCACTGTATTCCTATTTAGAATTTTACAGATTTAATAAATAACACTAATACAAATCAATATAGTAACTAGAATCTTAAAATAGTTATCCATTTGTTAGTTTATTATGCTTCAAGTGCAAAAAAATCAAAAGAAAATGAGACGAGAGAGATTAAGTCAATACGTAAATATATATATATAAAAAAATCAAATATAAAGCAATGTATTAAAACCTGTACTATAGCAACAATTTGAGCAAACATATCCTAGTAATTTTAACATAATTTATGGACACTTTACTGTGCTTCATTGAAATCTATCGTTATTATAAACACTGCTATCTAACCAAAAGAAAGTTTATATAGGTAGGCTATGACACCTTTGGGCTTAATTCTCGTAACCCTTTGCCTTACAGTAGATTGATTTGCAATGTTACAGGAGATTTTTTTGAATATCGTTTGTATAAATATCGCTATGTCTTTATCCATAACCAATCACCTTATGAACAACTGCATATGGTATAATAATACATGTAAGTATTTTTTTTTTATTTTCAAATTATGTAAAACGAAAATATTTGTTGTCAGCTATAAGCAAATGCTTGACAAAAACAGCAAAATTGTCACTTCACATTTTTGATTTATTTCAAGGTGTTGAAGATTGTCCAGAATGGATGGTTTTGGTCAGAAGCAACTGCAAAGATGTATTCTGGTTGCAACAACGGACTTGTGACCATCCCGAATCTGCACTGGAGGGGGTCACTTGTGGCTTTTCGAGGTGCGATTGTCCTGAACCAATGGTGCTAGATACGAATTCCTTTAATTGCTACGATGCCGACAATTGCCCTACTATAATTGAATTAGATACATAAAGAGTTACCGTCATATAATTTAAGTTATTATTAAATTAACTACTGTGCCGAATATAGGCTGAAAAATATTTAAACAGTTGCTATATACCTAAGTTGCGATGGAGTTGTGCGTTTTTGCTCCATGAATTTATAGTTCATAAGTATAAACTCGTTCGTTTTAAGTATTGTAAAAATATAAGGATTTTTTTAAATTATATATTTTAAAGAAATAATTAAATAAATTTTTAAATTAAAAATGTTCTTATTTGGATGGCTCAATTGGGCTCCACGGTGCACTGCAAGAACACTGTGGCAAGAAACAATGACAGATTGTCGATAGTCTGACATTGACAGTGACATATTGCTTGATAGCTGTAGCATTAAAAGTATTGTGTGAATTAAAAAAAAATATAAGTTAGTTTTAAAAGAAAAATTGTAGATACAATATAAAAAATAACATACCAAGTATGTTACGACTTTGCTATCGAAATGCTGTGTCCCAAAGGTGTTGTAATATATCCGCATTAGCAGATTGCAAAGAAATTGTATCCGGCACGAAAGGCATGACTGTTGTCCATAAAATAATAGGAAGACATTATGCTTCAAAGAAATTAAACGAAGAAAATAAATTAGAACAAATATACTATGGACCTTTAACGCCACAAATAAAGGCTGTTAAGATATTTTCACTGTCTTCTAGTGCTGCCGGTCTTGTGGCTCAACCAATAATTATAAAAGAAGCGTCTACCATAGGGAGTACATCACTACTAATAGCTATTTGTTCGGTTGTAGGCTTCTTTACATTCGTTACTCCTTTATTACTGCACTTCATTACAAAAAAATATGTGTCCGAGGTTTATTATAACCCAGACACAATGAGTTATACAGCAGTAACCCGCAATTTCTTTCTTGTTTCTAAGAAGGTAAGATAAATTGAATAATAACTTTTTTAAAATGAATTAGTGTAAAGTGAAGATAGCTCTTGCACATTTCTTTGTTAATAAAGATAATACAAAAGATGTGGAAAAGTTAAGCGTTACTTACTTATTGGTAGTGTTATTGCTTAAATAAAATATTCTTATACAATTCTTACTTGTAAATATGTTTTAGTTGGAGTTCAAAGCGGAGGATGTAGTGGTTCCAGATATTCCAGGCATGTTCACAACAATGCATGCCAAGGGCACACCTCTATTCATTGAAGCGAGACATTTTAATGACCCTATGCATTATGCCAAAATAATGGGTTATGACAAACCTTTAGACTTCAAACTTGGCAATATGGAGGAACCAGAAAGCAGTAAAAAGTAGACAGTTAAGTGATTGTTGTGTATAGGTAGTTAATTAAATGTTACTTAAAAATGTCCCTCGTTTTCATTATTGAAAATTAAAGAATGTCATTTTTTTATATAAGTGAAAGATTTTATAGTCACTAGCTATCACCTGTCGAATAAATAAATTCCTGCTTAATATTTTCACACGCTTTTGAGAAAAAGGATCTTAACAGACAGACAGATGTACAACAAAGTGATCCTATAAGGGTTCCGTTTATTTCCTATGAGGTACGGAACCCTAAAAAAAAAATAAGTAGCCTGTGTGTTCTTCCAGACTATGTTCTACACCTATGCCATTCTGAAGATACCTTCAAACATTTACATTTATTATATTAGTAAGATATGAAGGGATTGCTAGAGAAGTCTTAGTGCCAGTTTCTCCTAAACAAGAATAAAACTAAAGACACTTTCCATTGTCTAAATTTGCAATGAGACAGCCATGAGCAATTTAATTTATCACCAAAATATACACATGTGTATAAGTTTAAATCAGGGATGGCAAACCTTTTTGTATCAATGCCATTTAAAAAATATTAATGAGGTCATAGATGTATCAAATAATTTTAACTTTGTTATTATTAAGAACATTCCATAGAATATAGATTACTCGTAGTTCTCTTATATAATACCTAATTCAACCCTTTTTTTTATATTGCATAATGAATTCTGTGATCAAGTGAATGTGTGGCATTGGTTTACTATCCCTGGTTTACGGTTACAAATGTACTATGCTGGAGTAAATGTTCTTTTACATATAAATTGAGATAAGCATTCTTTAGTCAAGTAAAGAAATCATTCATTAATCTATGAGATTACATAACTATTGAAATAAAATAATTTTTGCAATAGCAGTTTTGTTCGATCTTTATAAATGAACTAGCTGTCGCCTGCGACTCGGTCCGCGTTGATATATAAAGAACTTCACCCATCCATCCATCTCATCAAAAAGCAGCTCTTCAAGGCATACATTGGAAAAAAAATGAATAAATAGTAACATATGTCCGTCTCCTGGCTCTAAGCTCCTCGCCAATTTTCAGGCATATCGGTAAAGCCGTTCTTGAGCAATAAATAGTGTAACTAACATGACTTACTTCTATATATATAAGAAGAATACATATCATAATAAAAATAAGATTTGTGTTAAAATATTTTTTATTCTTAAATTATTTTCGCATACAGTTTTTACTATAAAATATAAATAATAGAAACATTCAATGTCAACATTAAAACGTCAAATAATTGTAAGCATTTTCATCAAAATGTTGACTAGACACAAACATACACATCAAATGGAATGTTAAGTGTTATTAAAAACTTTTTAATGTAACTAAATTATAAAAAATATACTAATTTAACATTTACATAAAACAACATAATAATAATAATACAAATTATTTCTTACTTTTTATTTAATCCAATGTGGCTATTGAGTTATGTTGCCAAAATGAATAGGCAGAGATCATATCTACTTCAAACTTTTGTGAGACATTATAATAAACTGATATAAAAACGGCTAAACAATGACGTAAATTCGTCCGGTGGCGGCACCGACTAGTTTCGAGCTCATCGGGGGCCCTTCATCGGTGAGTGGGACTGATATTATTTCGCCAATACGATTTTGAAGGGCCCCCGATGAGGTCGAAACAAGTCGGTGCCGCCTCCGGACGAATATACGTGAGTGTTTAGCCGTTTTTATATCAGTTTATCGTATCTAGAATGTTTAACAACGGAACAGAACTTTAAATAACTTTTACATAATTAATAAAATAAGAAATCCCATCACTTCAAGAGTCTAAAAAGCAATTTCCAAATTTAAATATTTCGTTATTTCTGTATGTAATTGAAAGAATAAAAAATTTATTATTTTACTGTTTACGTAGACGTCAAAAAATAATATTATCTTTTATTTACATTAATCCTATTTATATGTTATGTACAAATTTAAAAATTTACAACTTATATAGAAAATATATGTATATTTTGATTTTAAAACACAATTTAATATCTAATCTAAATATTACAAAAATAAATTTTATAAAGTAATGATTAAATTAATATTATTAATGCAAAATAATGCATTCATTTTAGAAAGTGATATTATAAATATATATATTCAATTAACTTATTCAAATAAACATTTATTTTACTTAAATATTAAAAGTTGCAGAATAATGTAATTGTTTTCTTAAAATTTAGACACATACCGTGGATTTCTGAGATTAAATTTCCTGTATATAACATTTTGTTCATACAAAGATAATGCGATGACAATTGTTTTATACAGATTTTGGGCTTAGAAATCCACGGTTAGTGTTATCATTTACAATGCATATACCACACATAAGATATCCATAAATTATGGAATGATAAAAAAATGTGTTTGAATTGTCACCGCTGCTTTGATTTTTTAATAATGAAGCAATTTATGATAAATTTCAATATTTTCAAAATCTCTTTGATATTTTACATATTATCATTTTAACAATAATATAATTGCTTGCACTTTAACAATCATTAAAGTACATTTAAATATTGAATAATTTTCTGACTGGCAGGAGTATATTTTTTTCTCCTACATTGTGTATACTAAGATGGAGAATAGAGCAGATTTTTATCGCAAACAAAATTGTGTTTTAAACAATTGAAATAAGGATCAATTTTACTATTCATGTGATTTTACGCTCTCTGTTTATAAAAAAGAGGTAAAACCTAAATTAAACCTTATCACAATATTATAAAGCTCAATTTTATTTGCAAAAATACTGCTCTCCGTCCCGCTCTGAAAGGACCGAATGCGGCAAACTATTCTTTCCTAGAGTGTTTCACAGACGGTCGGGAATATTGACTTTTAAATTGATCAATAGTTCATATCCGTTAACATAACCTTAAAATCTTGTATTCAGTCATAATGTAGTGCGTTTTCAGCCAAATGTGTATCGGGTATTACTTTATCGTCAATGACTTCAAGTGCGGCGGCGCGCGCGCGTGACCTCGCCGCCCACTCCACGCGGCAGAAGGCGGCTGTGCCCAGTGAAGCTAGAACCGCGAGTACACCCAATTGTACTGACAGCAGGGCTCTTGATGAGTAGAAGAAACACGCAGCCGCAGCTAGAGACTGGAATTTAAACGTCACATATTTTAGTAAGATGTATGAGTAATTTTTTTACAAAGACAAATGAAAACGTTGAATTTAATTTTGGGTTATTTGACTTTTTTTCTTAAATACAAATCACGTAGTTACTGATGGATGTGATGGATTATTGTTTTGAAGGTATCTCCGGTGCGGCTGAACGGATTTTGTTGAAATTTGGCACAGATGTAGAACATAGTCTGGAAGAGCATATAAGCTACTTATTAAGTTTTTTTTTTAAATTGCGCTGACGGCATCGCGGGCGACAGCCCGTAGGTGAATAAATACTGTCGTTCACAAAGACAGAAATTTTCTTACCGATTTTATATGGCCTACGGCCACTAAAATTTACATAAAATTCAAAAAGCTCGCTAAAACGTTTGTAGGTTAAGGTCTATAATCCATAAATTAAAGAAATGAAAATGTCAAGTAAAGCGGTAAATGTCAAGGATGTCAAGTTTGACATACAAATAAAATCATATTAAATGACATCATTAAAATGCAATAAAATTATCAAATTTAAATATAAATATACATCCTTTAATTTGTTTGCATCTGAAGCTGCCGATTACATGTAACGTGCGTAACTCCAACGCAGACGCTCTTAAATATTAGCGCGCGACTAAATATTAACATAATATAATATTTTACCCAAGAAATAATACAGTTAATTACAAATAAAAAAACATACCTGTGTAAACTTGAACAGTGCAAACGCAGACGTACTATTATCAGAGTAATTTCCTCCAAGTATTGAGTAAATCTGAGTATTGAAACACGCATCGCCGAATCCTAGTAGAAAGCTGCAGAACATAGCGAGGTATGGAGAGGGGTTGATATATGAAGTCTCCATTGTATCTCCGAATGGTGCTACGTTGGGTAAATTGATGAAGATAAGGAAGAAACTGGTGACATGGATGATGTACCCCATGATCACAATAGGGTCACGACCCCAACGAGTTGTTTTCGATCCAAGAATACCGAATAAAGCTCCACCTGGAATATGAATTGTTTAATTAAAAATAATTTCCATGGATTTCTTCTGTTGACACGTCATTCCTATTGTTATTTCAGTTTTATTAGAGAGAATGAGTGAGACGGCAACGTTTTAGTATTAACTTCATTCGAAAACGACGTTATACATCAAAGGTTTGATCATTTGTGGTGCATATTTTAATAAAAATTTAGATTTTGACATAAATGTAAATTTCCTAATAATAGTACAATCCTTTTATTCTCTTTGCAAGATATAAAAAAATAAAACAATATAAAGAAAAACATTTTATTTATACTGCATCACTGGCACTTAAGTTTTTTCTTAAAACAACACTTTCATCTTAAAAATGCTCAACATGAATATATCTCGGACATGTTACGTACACAAAGTGAGTTGCCACAATAGAAACGAATGCATGTCGTCCCTCTCACACTCTATGAAAAAAATAAAGACAACAATATGTTATAACATGTGCTACGGCAGTAGGATATCACCTTAATACCATTACGAAATTGGCAACGTGTTTACAGTTACACTTTTCGCAATTCACGAGACACGCGAACATTTAATTTCGGCACACGGTATGTCTCAATGTGTGCAATCACGGCAACATGTACTGACAGAAAAAAAAGATTGCTAAAAATTAATTATCACATTAAAAAAAATTTAATTGGTTTCTATAAATTAAAGACAAGTATTGTATCTGAAACTGTTAATAGATAACGTTTTAAATATTCGAAGGAATATTTTTAAATTTGTACGTTTATGCTAACCGTACTCGTTGATCGAGCGCACGCACACATTAACAATACAGCCATATAGTAAAGATAATTTTTGATTGCATGCTTTTAACATATTGTAAAATATATATTTTTTTTTATTTTCCTGTTAAAGTCGTTGTTTTAAAGCCTAAAATATAGTAAACTACGCACTTTGTATTGTTATTCTAGTCTGGAATGTATCCTTGCACGTGGCCGATAATTTTCTACATTATCTAACAAGTACATAATATGTTTGCTAACTAAATGTTTACCCAGACAGAAATCACTTAAGTACATTCGTAATGATAAAATGCACGGGTGCAATTAATTTATAGAGTTTTATGAACTTTAAACATGACAACACATCCGTACTTTACCCTATACGGTAGAATATTATACAAATGCTGAGAGACTTTCCACTAACGAAACACATTAGTACTATTTATATCTATTTTTATAAAGAGAGTGACAGAGATAACTATAGTTTTCTAGATCTTTCCTGCATAGAAAAAACACGGTCTCAGGAATACCCCAAAAAATGTATTACGTATTTTTTTTTAATTAACTTACCTAAAACTTCTCCCATACCAATGAAGACACCAGATAGACCGACAAGTTGTTTAGCGTTCTCTCCCATAGACAGCGTGAATCCAATACTGGGGCTGTACACACCGCTGAAGAAAGACAACTCCACACCTGAAGAAAAAGCGTCATCCTCTCTATATCCTTTTCCCACTTTAAGTAGAATTAGAACTCAAGACAGAGTAAAGTACAGTAAAAGTTTTTTCTATTGTACACACAATAAAGTATAGTTCTTTTCAAATATCTTAGCTTCTTAAGGTTATCGCACCTAAAATTGTGTTTTCCGTGACTTACAGGAAGAGTCACCAAGATATCTGAAAACTTTTATACTATACAATTATAAAAGCGCTTTTTAATTTAGTTATCCTAGCAAACCATGCCAAGATAATGGCTGGAAATAAGGATACTTACCAGTGTATATAAATGTACAGCTAAGGAACATCATGTCACGTGTGCAGAATAACTTCAAAGCACCCTTGAAAGCCTCCATAGGGCCGTCATCTTCGTGGTTCACAACATCAGTCTATAAATGAAAGTACGAATATTTTCAAATTAAAATAATAAAAAAAAAATTGCATCAAAAGTAACTCAAGCATAGTTCAGATAAAAGATTCGTAGAATAGAAGTTAATTACATACATAGGTTGAGGAACGTTTTTAAAGTAAATATTTAAGTTCTTTTTTGCAACACTTTAAAAAAACATTGTTAGGACAGGATTAAGTGAATTGTTAAAATACATAAAGCAAGTGCAATATATTGGTACCTCTTGGAATTTCACCTTTACATCATCGAGCACTTGCGGGCGCCTGATGGGCCGCAATAGCAACAGAAACACAATACCAAGCGCACAGACCGCAGTCAGCGCGCCGAACACTACGTTACGTGTATCCAAATCTATGTGAGTCTTGCCTTGGAATTTTATGAACACGAATAAATTGCCAAAGAATAAACTGTAACAAAATAAAGTAAACGTCTATAAGAAACAAAACATGATACACGATTTGTTACTACTAGCTAACTAGAAGTCTAAAAACCCCTTCAACGTAAAGTGACTTTTGTTGTGATTTGCACCAGACGACACTGACAAATTCTAGGAAAAAGTTTCTATCGTCCGCTCTACGATTGAATTGAATATCATTGCTCAAGTTACCTGCACTGCAGCATAGCCCAGAAGATGCCTGAGTTCCTCGAGATGGTGTCAGCGTCGCTGTTGAGTGTTAGGTAGTTACCCTGGCCTGTCCAGATGGCGGCAGCACCCGCGCCGATCAGAACACTCGCCACATACAGAAGCCATGTGCGCGGGAACAGGAATGTTACTATGAAGAACCTGGAAATATATAAACAGGTTAACAACACGAGGAACAAACATATAGGGGAAGAGCCCGCTTTAACATATTCGCACGAATTGGCCCGGCTAGCCCAGTAAAATACAACGACCACACAGAAGACAGGCGTGAAGTGGAAGCAATTCCGCGTTTCGTCTGATGAGTGTGCGTCCCGGAGGCCTAATTTAGTCCTCTTTCCCTTCCCACCCTTTTTTATAAGGAAAGGATGGGAAGTGGAAGTGGACTTTCGGGATGAGAGGATGCATGGGAAGGGAAAATGTTTTCTTTCTGTGGATCCTCTCCTCCACCGATTAAAGGTAGGCAACGCATATGCAATTGCATATGCTACGGTCACTTCGCTATTTCAGCGATTTCAGGTGGCCGCTCGCTCGTTTGCTGATAGTGTCTGATTGTCTGATTGAATAAATAAGCATTATGTAGCTTATATACAATAGTTTCTGCATCACGTTTTCCACCGACAGGCAAATCCGAGTTTCCAAGAAACGAGAGAGGTGTCAGGACCGAGCCAAATGGAGGTAAGTATTCTCTGTCTACTTCTCTGGGTATTGTTGTAGTAACGTACGCATTATCACGTTTGCCTGTGCAATGTATGCAAGATCAAAAACGTCATGAAAATCCTAACATATATCCTGCATAGAAGTTAGGTTATTTATATTGGAAATTGTCTTACGGGCATAAATAGAACGGGAAGACTAGAACAGTACAACAACCCTATAAAAACCGGTCGGTAGATACGGCAACATATTTCCGCATTTTAACCGGCAAGCGACTTGGTACAATTGTGGGTACAATACTTACTTACTATAACATTATATTGATGTATTATATATACAGTATGTAGTCGTAAGTTGTTCCAAATAATAAAAAAAAAATACTTGCTATCTATCTATCTGTTGTATTAACAGTGTAATAACCACACATCACACCCACACAAAAGTATTATCACCCTTATTCTTTGAAAAAAAAAACAACAACGACAACTAATATAAACTGTCTGTTTTTATTTATTTACATTATTTGTCAAAAACATTAAATTTTAGTATACAGTACAGAGATAAGTTGAATTTCGAAACAGGATATGTATTCATCGCGACTTTGCTATGATAATATTTATTTGATACAAAAAAGTGCTCAATAAATCGTGTTTGTGAGTAAAAAAAATATTAACGATTTAGTATTAGTGTAAATTTCAAAAATAACATAACACAAACTCATTTATATGTTAATAAACATAAAAGTAAATTATAGCTATGCTAAAAAGACGACTTTTGACAGTATAATTAATTTCAGGTTTTATATTCGTCCATTGATATTTAAAGATTTTATAATATCGCAGGACACGATGATTTCATAGAAATGTGTTGAGATGAATGGTAGAACAATTAAATCATCAACTTCCCATTATCCCTATGGAAGATCTGCATAGTATGTACTACTCCTCAATACAACTCCATCAGCCGTCTTATCTGAATTAACCCCGTTCTTACGCATATCCTTTTTCACGCAATCCATCTATACTTGCTTAGAACAACTAAATACGTACTAATAAAAATATTAGACTGATCTAATCTTCACCGACAAAGCTCCCGCTGGCGATGATCACAACCCATCGATTAATTTGCCTATATAGATGAAGTTAAAAATGTGTATACAAGTGGGGCCATTGTACGCTTAAAAAATTCTGTGCCCTTTCAAAGTTACCACAATAATAATGTATAAATAGATGTAGATTAGCTTTAATGTGCAGAAAATGTCCAGAAAAGGTCGCTCAACCACACCCGGTCACCTCTACTAAATACTAGTGGAAAACTTTACATATAAATGTCGTATGTTTGGCATACAAATCAGGAAAATACGATTGGATAAGTACCAATAGTGCCTATTTGCACTTCGTTGCTTTAAAGACAGAATTTTATTAACCGGTCATAGGCAACGAATTTGCAGCCAGAAATCCTGAAGGACATTATTTATCTGGATCGGTTTACTTTCTATTTTTACCACGTGATAAAAATCACACAGAAACATGTCTATTCCTCTCAACTGGATAAAAATACAAGAAAGCTTATAATTATAGCTACAATAAAATACAAATTGAGGTCAAGTACAACCCGATATATAAAAGTAAGCAAGAGAAAAAAGGTCAAATATCAAGGTCTACAATAAAAAACATTCCGAAGAGCGTCTGCAAATTGTCTGCTTGCATAAGCCTGATTACATCCAACCCTTGTGACACGGGAGATAAAACAAGTGATAAAACTGTTTGTTCGCTAGAAATGGGTCACACTTCAAGAAATTTCCTCCACAACAAAACAACGTTCTCGATAGCCAGTAATCGACTTTAGGTCATATAGCGACTGGATTCAATAAACACAAATTGAGTAGTTTTTCAAATAAAACCTAATTGAAATCAGCAAACGTAGCTTATAAATCTTAAGCTTATTGAATCTGTCGCCTGCGACTCTGTTCAGCATTAAAATAACTTAATTTGTAGCCTAAGTGTTCTTCCGTACTATGTTTTACATCTATGCCAAATTTCAGCGAGTTCCATGGAACCGTGCTGGAGATACCTTCAAGTGAACCTCCATCCATCCATCCATCTAAACATTCTCATTTATAATATTAAATAAGAAGTACGATAAGCAACAAGAGACTGCTTAGTCCTAAGCAAGAAAGAATATTATTTGTACCGGTTTTTCTGTAGTATAAACCACCGAATAGATTTACAAAGTAAACGTAAGTGTTCAAGATTTACTACTACAAAAATCCGGTTACACGACATGTGACACACCCACTAAACCGCCGGTAATTATACTTTAATAAAGAATATACCCAATATAAATGTCAGAATATTGATCAAGTATATTAATTTAAACACAAACATTTCAAGGTTTCCATTGCTAATACGCTAATACACATATCTCTATATTTTCAAAGAGAATAAGTAGGATGACAATATGTTTTTGTCCACGTGTTTCGGCAGTAGAAACCGACGGTAACGAAAAGTTGTCAGCCTTGATTGTGCACCGGTGATATAAAGGTCCCGCACTATGTAGATCAATACATTGCACTCGCAAGGCGGTAAAGCGCAAATACTGGATATTTATATTATAATGTTAAAAGAAAAAGTTACCACACGTATAAAACCAAACACAGGTAGCTAGGAATACATTTGATAAGCATTTGCGATAAAAAGACAGACGTGGACAGCATACTGCATGAATGACACATAACATCTTTCTTCGATATCTGCATAGTCGAGGTAAATAAATAACATAAATAATATACTCGTAAATCTTCAGAACACAAAGAAAATCTGTACATAGACAATAAGCAAACTGAGGAATATTTTGAATGGCATGTGGTGTTGTCTTTGCATGATAAAAAACCTTTACTTCTTACTTTTTTACATGTCATTGAACGCAAAGCATACTTTAAACGGCAAAAAGCCATATTCACATCATAGAAGATTTTGTGAAAAAAATTATGTAATTAAATCATTATCATTAAATTAAAAACTTTTACATCTTTCTCATTTACATTCGATCTGATATTTTATTTTGTACCTAGCTGTCGCATCAGTAACAAATTAAAATGCTAGTGGCAGCTCCAAAATAACGGAAGATGTGTGAACGTTTTGGGGCCCAACGCCTATGCGATCAGTGACACTAAATTAAATTCCTCAACCTGTGTTTGCTTTACAACCTAATAATGTTGCCAGTAAAATATTCTTTTCGAAAACTAAAAACCATACTAACCCAAAAATAGTTTAATAATGTTGCTATTAGATAATTTTAAAAAAATATAATATTATTAGATGAATTCACTTTTTCACACAACTACAAATAATTTATCAATTTACCTATAGTAACATTGCAAAAAACTGACTTATTCTGCAGATTTCCTGTACCCTCAAATAATGGTATGACCCTAGTTATTCTAAAGACTTAAGGCAACCACACTCTATTATAATAAAATTAGCTCAATTTGTATTGTTTAAGTTATTAAAATAGTAACAGCTTCAAGCAAGGCCGTACCACCAAGGCTAAAGAATGTTATCGAAATGTTGGTATGCAATGTCATTGTGTCTTAACACGCACTTTTAGCTGGATCGGGCACTTCATAATATATTTATACTTACTCCAAAGCTAAAATTGAGAGCGTCGGTGGCTCAGGGGTCAAGCACTTGACTTGCAATCTGCAGGTCCTGGGTTCGAATCCCGCCTTATACCAATGAGTTGTTCGATTTCCGATTTACATATGTACATTAATCCGACGTTCTTACGGTGAAGTAAAACATCGTGATGCAACCTGCACATATCTGAGAAGTAATTCAAAGATATGTGTGAAGTCAACCAACCCGGACTGGGCCAGTGTGGTTGACTATGGCCTAATCATCCTTAACTTATGGTAGGCTCCGAGCCCCTCTGTGGGGACGTATAGTGAGCTGATGATGAATGGCAAATGTAAAAATACACTAATATGGTGGGTAAAAGAAAAATATTGAATAGTAAAAACATTTTAAGCACTTATTATAAATTTCAACAGTTTTTTTCAATCCAATTTAAAAGTTCGTTAAAGTTGTTTAAATTGAAATAATTATACCCTTATAAAACTAAATTTAACTCTATCCTAAATGTGTTTCGAAACCTGGATCATTAAGAAAAAAATGTTGCCGAGTCCTTTATCTAAATAAAGCAAATGTAGCAACTCCTAGTAATTAATTATTTAAGGAAAACGACTCAATTAAGTTAAGCAACATATAGTCACGATCACAACCAAATGCGAAAATTTGGTTGTATAGACAATTGTGACCACGTAACTCTAGACGGCTGATACAGGATAGCATGGCTGATAACCTACAGTTTTTTTTTAATTATAAGCCATTGAAGTCGTGGGCAGGTCTGGGAATAAAGTATTATTGTTTATGACGTGCCAAAGCACGTGTCGGATAGCACACTACGTAAAGTGAAGTCGTAATGACTATGTGTACATTCAAAGAGCGTAATGTAATGTTATTTAGCGCGTGTCATTCATCAACGTGCATATCACCCGCATTGATGGCAAGATACGGTCTTTGAGTCGCCTCACGCACCAATACTGGTGAAATTAATCCTACATTTACAATATATTATGTACCAGTTACACTACAATCTTAAAATATATTATCTATTATTAAGTTTTTTATATATTCACGGGGACGGAGTCGCGGGCGACAGCTAGTTTATAATAACTGTGACCCGCGAAACGACTCCTAGAAAATAAAAAAAAACTTAGGTTGTTGTCTATGTGTTCTTCCAGACTATGTTCTAACTAGTTCATGAGCCGTTCTGGAGATACCTTTTAAGTAACATTCATCCTTCCATCCATCTAAACTTTCGACTTTATAATTAGTAAGAAGTAAGTTTAGTAAGACTACGTATCAATTCTGGTTTAATAATTATTTTGGGAGCAAACTATTGTTCTTTTTAATATATGTAGCATTATAAAACAAAAAACGGCAACATGTTATCACGTGCGTCAATTAATATGCAATATGCAGGATCTCGACGCGTATACTTTTTTTAGTTAATATCAAATAAAGACTGAATATATTTACTTTAATGGAACCATAAAATAAGTTATATAGATAGCATGTCCTTTCAAACTTGGTTATACGTGTGTATCAAAACTGAAGCAAAACTTGCCTACCGTCTAAAAAGTTTTACAATCAAACAGAGAATGTTATAAAATTCCACAATGGACAGAGAAACAGAGATGGAAAGGTAGATATGGAATGCGAATGCTTTTTCATGAACGCAAAATACTTGTAAAGGTTTACTGGGTGCGTCAATTAAACAATTCCCGTAATATCTGTCTCATTTATTTAGAATTTGGAATCATGCTTTAGCATAGAATGACCTTGAAATTCTATTACCTTAACTTATATTTAAACAAGTCTCTGAGTGTTAAAAAAAATGACAGTGATGATAACATGTTGTATTTCGACAGTGGAAACGCATAATAAGCACAATAATAATTACAAAGCGTGCAATACGTCATAGTAGGATGCTCGCAAAGTATTTGTCTGATGTAACAGCGAACCGAGATCCGATCAGTGTCGACTAAATGTCGACAACTGCGCAGCCGCAAATATTTTGCAAGACAATGATAGCAAGTAAACTAATACACAGGTGTACATAAATCTTAGTCTTTATTACATTATGTATATATTTATACACTACTTAGAAGACAATTTGTACAGTATCGCTAGAAATAAGTAAATCTTATCCATCAGAACTGTTTCGTTCAGAAATGACGAAACTAAATTACCGTTAATTAACGTACGAAGGTGTACAGACATTGACATTTTTGGCGCCAATATCTTTTAAAATAGTATTTGAATAAAAGGCAAACATTTTTTTTATATTCCACCTGCTCAAATAAAATATGAGGTATACGATCCATTATTTTTTTTAAACATTTAATGTCTTTCCGACAAATTTGAAGACACTTTCCTTATATACAATGACAACCCAAAAACTGTTTTATATGTGTACTGTACGAAAATGTCCCTAAAAGACTGGTTATAGCCTTTCGGTAAATTATATTGCAAAACCAATGTCGTAAGAGCGACAACGTTCGTGTAACGATAGTTGTTATCTATACAATCGTCGGTCACTTGCTGAAGGCCCAGACAGTTAGGTAATAAAGGAAAACTGGACAATTTAGCTTCCTACAGAATTGAATATTTATAAGTAATTGAGTTATTGTTATTACTAGTACATATAACAATAGACGGAAACAAAAACCGAGAAATAATTGAATCAAAGAGACGAATATATTAATGAGATCTGTTCTTAATATTTCTAAGTGTTACCATAATATTATTTTATTTTCAATTTGTTAAGAATGACCAGATACATGTGATAGTCATTACCATTTTCCCACGTTAAAATGTAAATTATTTTTAACATCGTATTTGATTCTTTGTCTACTTATATTGCGATGATTTTGAACTTCTTTATTACTTTACTAACTATCGCTTGCGGCCCGTCCGTGCGGAATTAAAACAAAATAGTAGTCTATGGGTTCTTCCGTGTTCTACATCTATGGCAAAGCTTCGGCGAGATCCATGCAGCCGTTCCTGAGATACCTTATAACAAACATCCATCCATCCATCCAAATATTCGTATTAGTAAAACAGTAAGATATAGCAAGAAAGAAGATTGCTGCACGTAGCTGCTTACACTAAGTGGATTTTGTCACCAAAATAAATATAAACTTACAAATATGTAAAGGCGCCAATTAACATCGCGCCTCTTGGACCTGTGATGGTAATGACGGAGGGCGCCAGCCAGTTGCAGATCGCCAGGGTGGCGTAGATGATGGCCAACGAGGTGTACCCATCACCAGTGAACGAAGGGTCATCTTGTGTTATACTGTCCAGTATGGTTTTCTGTGGAAACATAGATTAGATAAATATTTGAATTTGGAAGCGATGGAGTTTCTATTTCATCATATTTATCCTCATAATCAGCCTGTGTCAGTCAATTGATGGACAGTATTTTTTTTAAATAAAATAATGCCTTTTTAACTCTATGAGAAACTTAAAGCGAGGTAAATATTGACATACAGGTATAAACGAAAAAAAGACAAATATAAACATTGCATATTGTCTATGCAAATGTTAAAACGCAAGTTTGTCAAAGTTATCAAGCTCTAATGGATTTACAATTTATTCTAATAAATAGAATGTACTAAGTTATTAAATAAATAAATTATTTTCGTTTTCCCTACATGAATAAGTAAGTGGTGCGCCTTGTGAAAATTCAGAACAAGGTACTCAAGTGTAATAAAGTACATTAAGAGTTTATGTTATTTGATGTCATAAATTAAAATCTGTAACCTCGTTGCATCTTAAAAGGACCTTTAAGTGGCATCTTACAAAATCGAAGAGATGCGAACGTGTGGGATGTAAACAATCCTTTTTCGGTTAACCTAAAAAATCGCACGAAAGCTGCCATATTACCATTTTTATATTATCTGTCAATGTGATTAACGTGAGTGTTGCAATTTACCAAGCGGTACTTAATGTTGCAAGCAGGATTATGGTTTTATTGTTTCGAAATCACAACAATATGGCGATAAAGACATTCGTTGCCCAATAATCACCATTTACGTAGTTAATGTTAGCATCATCTTTCGTCGCATATACTTACATTTAATATATTTATTTTAAACTATAGCAAACAATTTTTAAGCATAACTATAATAGTATATCCTTTTATTTCCATATGGAAACATGTTTTAGTAATATCTTTCAAACTGCTTATTAATTATAGGTTTGTTTGTAAAAGAAAACATTTAACTTTATACTACAGTTTTAAGATGTAGTAAGACCAAGAAAAAAAAAACAATTACTGGGTACCACAGCAAAAACGTTCAATTTCGAAACATTGACACGTTCCTTCTAATCTATCACTTATAGTTCAAGGCTCAGTGCTAAAACCACTACGTTACAACAGGTTTACCTGTTCGATATTTTACGAAATTCTCGACTTTACTTACCCATACTAATGCATTTATTTATACTAGGTACATTAAATGTAAAGTACTATAAAGTGAATGACCTAATAAAAAGCTGTTAGGACTTGTCTAACATTTTGATCACATACAATAGTTATCTTCTTGTAACAAATAAGGAGTAATGCACTCGATGTAATAGTACTTACAAATGAAGTGTTTATTACTATACTAGTTGTTGCCGTAGTATACTCCGTCAAGGAATGCTTAAGTAGCCTATGTGCTCTTACAGACTATGTTCTATATCTGTACCAAATGTCAGCGAGATGCTTGCATCCGTACTGGAGATACCTTCTTAGAAATATTTATCCATCCATACAAACATTTTCATTTATAATATTAGTAAGACAACAAGGAAAATAAGAGTATAATATGGTCGAATTTTATTTCAATTCTTAGACATGATCTAGTCGACTATATTTTTTCCTATGATTGTGAAGTCAGTGACACTGAATGTTATATCAGAAAAACCCAAAGGCAGTTGAGTCCTTGCTGTCTGTCCAACTGTTTTAATCAAATCAGAATCAACGATAACATCAGATCATATAATCAGATATTATGATAACCATTTTGAGTATAATACAGTTGAAATGCAACCTATCATTTCAGACTATTCTAAATCAATGACAAACTTATGTTTATCTATTGTAGCAAAATTACGCATAAAAGATAAGCATTGTTATCTCGACTTGACCTGTTATTGAAAAAGACCCTTGAAAAGTAAATATCTCCCCTAACAAATCTGCATTGACCTAAATACTGTACTTATCCTTGACTCAATCGACTATAAACAGTGATAACATCTAAACACTTTTGGATAATAATAAGAGTATTTAAATTGTTTAGATTATAAACTGAAAACATGTCCAAGTAAACATGACACATTTATACTTTCGCTTATAATCAAAAAAATACCCAACAATTTTTCATATCTTCCAATTTTAGCCCATTAGTTATATTATAAAGAGCAAAGATTTGATTTTTGCATTGAATAGGCTCCGAGATTAGTGAACCGATTTAAAAAATTCTTTCCGTTTTAGAAATCTAAATCATACACCCATGGGGTGACATAGGCTGATTATTTTATTTTTTTATTCCGCGGTGACGAAATCAGGGGTAACCGCCAGGACATCCTGTATGTTTTAAAAATACTTAATACAAAGTACCTTTAAAAGTAATTAAACAAAAACTTTTTTTACACAAATAAAAAAACAAGGTTTTTGATTCAAAAAGGTAACAGCAAATTGTAATAACGTAAATAGCCAAAGTACTTTTAGGACAAACTATTTGAACTGACTAGAAAATCTATTAAATCTATTGAATACCATTTGCCAAATCGTTATCTATCAACGATACAAACACGTATGCATAATAAACGAAGTAATATATATAATAGATTAAATTGTTCGAAAACTTTTTACAATCACTTTGTCAATTTTTTTTTTAATTCATCATTCGTACTAGACACAGATAATGTCGCGTTAGCTTAAACAATAGCAATGATAACATAGTTCAAGGTTATCGCAATTATTGTATTTTTTTTTAATATTACGCTTGAACATGACATTTAATTTAGTTTTTCAGTAAATGTATAGAAATTAACAGTGCGCCACAAATCTGATATAAAATACTTTTTATCTGGTATTAACTTAAACTTCAAGACAATCTTACTAATATTGTAAATGCGAATGTTTGTCTGGATGAATGGATATTTGTTTGAAGGTATCTTCGGAACGGCTGCTCGAATTTTAATAAAATTTGCCACACATGTTGTCTGAAATTACACGTAGGCTACTTATTATGTTTTTTTTTATTTCGCTCGGACGGAGTCGCGGGCGACAGCTAGTCTAGCTATAAACACTTTATAGAACAATTGTTAAGTACACTAGAGATACGCCTTTCTATTACATGAACGATTATTACGAATCTTTATGACATGAGTAGTAATAAGTAAATAAAATATTGTTAATAACAACCATGTCCATAGCTTCCTCGTCAAAATTGGCGGGATTATGTTTTATTGATTAAAAAAAATTAAAAAATTCAAAGGAAAATATGTTCATAAAATTCTGGTGATAAAAATATTAATTAATGTATGTTATAAAAAGGTAGTTTGTATGGTGGTCGTAAATTTTGTTTGGAACTTAATCTCAAATTTGTAAATAATTGTAGCCAAAGCTTTTGCCTTTTGTTCAATATTAAATATAAAAAATACATCTGTATGAATACCATTAACTTTGTTAATTATAAAAAGAAAAAAAAACTATTCTAAACTTCTATTATTCTATTACATTATTAATGATAAATGAACCTATAATATTTGAATATAGAACACCTCTATTTTTTATTTACCCATCCAAACTGTGGTTAACTATTTCACTGTTACTTGAAGCAATACATAATTTAAAGTATTGCACACTTATGTATACATAATATACATTCATTGTATGGCAAAAAATGTTATTATATAACTATTTAGACCTGTGAATGTTGTACAATGCTCTCAAATTCTCATTTAAAGTTGCATAAGAAACATTACTTGAGGCAATAAAGTGGACCCATGTTAGTGGCACATCTTGACAATGATAGATTATCTACCATTTACTTTACCCTTTATATGTCACTAAATAATAATAAATTTATTTATATTTTTTTATTGTATTCCAACACTTAATTTATAAGATGCAGTAAATAGAAGTTAAACTTTCATGTTGTTTAAACTTATTTGAATAAAATACATATTATTAATCTTTCCCTTAGTTTTTTAACAGTTAAACATATTTCCATTTTTTTCACATTTTGTAACAAATTTTTTATAATGATGAAAAAAAAAAATTTTTTTCAAATAGAACACAAAAGCTGTGATTTAAAAATGGAATTTACATGTAACATAAAAATTAAGCTTTAATTAAAATAGTCAATTAATTATGTATGAAAGTTTGATACTTATTAACATTGAGATAGTTTTAAAAAGTAAGAATAATTATTTTATGCAATGGTTAAGAACAGCTTTGTTTTAATATGGAGGTTGAACTGTGAAAGTGTATACTTATTGTTACCTTAAAAAATGTTTACTTAGCAGGATATATTGTAATATTAAACTCACCTCTATATTGCCCATAGTCTGGAATGCAGTAAAAACAAACATGAACCCGAAACCGAGTAAAATAACGTTGAAAAACTTTCGCTCCATCTTTACTATGGAATTAAAATTATCGTAATATATCAAAACACAAAGAAGTAAAAATTAGAAATATGTGGCACGACACATTTAATAATTTGAAAGTTGCAACTAGAGACTACAATCGACTAGGGGATATCGGTCTCAACTGACTCGCAAAGTTAAATAATATATTCATTCCATTCTCCAATTGTTCCATCTCCCACCACAGCCTAGTACCAATAAAAATTTCTAAACCATTTAAAGGTTTTCGTTCTTATGCGTACGTGCATTAACTACTGCTTCAAGTGAAATGTAAAACTTAACTACCAGTACCACCACCAGCACTTATGATAATGTAAATATTGATAAATATGTAAATAAAAAGAAAACATCAAATTTGACGTTGACATTTAAACGTCATATTTAACGTCACATGGCCTTTCCGTTTGACGTAAGTTTTTTATAGAAGAATTTTATTATTGTCAAATTGTTTACACGCGATATTTAAAGGTTTAGATAATTACACGGCTTCTAGAGTCCTTAACAAACAATGCGTTTTAATTACTTTTTCGACTTCTTCTTCTATATACCTTGCTACCTGTAGCCAAATAAAGTTTTCTAAAACTTTCTTATAGCAACTTATTGTCTGTTGCCTATGGTTGGTTTGAAGTTGTTCTATTTTACCTTTTCTTATCTGTGTTTTTATTTTCCTCATTCATTATATTTTTCGAATATAAATATCGCGTACACAAAATTTAACAATAAAATTGACGGTTTCGTGTTTGTCTTGTGAATTATGGAAATGTAGTGCCTTATTGAACAACTTTTGTAATGGACATTTGGCTAAGCTGACTCTAACTTTGGTAAATGAGGATGATCTCATTGACGTGCTGACATTAGCGACGTTCTTTTCGGCGATTCTTGATCGTTTTATTATTGACTAAGTCCAATGACCTTGTCGCTGTACTAAAACCATCAGAATAAGTTAAAATGAAGAAACAATTCTACAGGGTGAAGCAACTCGCCGATCAAACATTTTCGAGGTACCATTTTTATCTATCACCAGATAAGATTCTTAAGTATGAACATGTAATCAACCGAACTAGAAGTCATAGGTGTCTTTAATATTACTATGTACTTGTAAGGAAACTGTCAGTTCAGGATTAACAAATTTTAAGTTGTAACATCAAATATAAAATTGTAAATTTGCTAATTCATTTATACTAGGTCTGGTAAAGGCGAAGCTTTAACAGATGAACTGCAAACCGCCGATAGGAAAGTTGAACATCTCCGAAATGCCTTACACTTGATAACAAAGAGACTAGCCACTTGTGCTGGTAACACTCAGGGCCAAGATCCTGCAGCCCGAGAAAAGAGACTTAGAAAGCTACCTGAATATTTGCTTGGCTTGTCTATGTGTGAAGCCAGTAACTTTGATGACGATGATAGCATTATGAAGTATATCCTGTATGAATGTGGTAAGTTTTGTATTAGAAGATAGTTCGTATTTAAATTTATCCAAAATAATGCATTTGATTATATTGTTTGATTAAATTTCCTGCATATTATCCTATGTGGATTACAGTTTTACAGACAGACAATACTTTAAATAAATAATTTATGGTTGTACATTGATGTGGCTGCATAAAGTTTTCCTTTTGTCCCTAAGTTGTTTGGTTTTGTGTCCTGACAAGGGAAAAGTTAGTAGTATATAAGAAATTATTAAAATATAAATTGGTTTTGCCTTTTTTTTATGAATAATAACTTTGGAAATAAATTTAAAGTATAATAACGTTTCAGGTAAAACAGAAAAATTCCTTGCTAACGAAATAGCTGAGCATGAGTTAAAAGTTGAACAGTTAGTTTGTGCACCATTGGCAGCCATCAGTGATCAAGACCTTCCTGCCATCATGAAGGCAAAGAAACAATTAAGCCGTTTGATTAGTGAGAAGGAATCTGCAACTAGCAAATATCATGTAAGCATATTATTTTACTTATTCATTTTCATAACTAAAGAATCGCCATGAACAGTGTTAACTAATCACTATATTTCAATTTAAAAAAACAATGGATACTTATCATTTTTATCTATTTACAACTACATCGAAAATTTTCTAGATAAAAACACAATTGTTATCAATATTGTCCACTGCTTTACTCATTATATCTGGGATATTTATGTAACATATCAATGTCAATACTATATGCAGTGTGGGCGGACAGTGATAGTATTGAATAAACATATAATAGCAAACGTTTGCACATAAAGTTATAAGATTTCTTTTTGTGAAAAGAATGTAACCTGAAATGTGTAAAGCAACAAAATTAAAGGAATTCTTTCTCTTTACAAATCTCATAATAATATTTGAAACAAAGAGAATACTCAGTACAATTAATATAAAAACAATAAGATGTAGTAGAAAGTAGGGTTTAACATTTTTATTGCCAGCAATTCATTGTTTATGTATTCAAGGAGTACATTAACATTCCATGTGTGAAAATTGAAAGGTTCTGAATGTTTCTTATTTCAATAAATGCATATATTTAACAATTTCTGAAGTGTAATATGTTTTTATGTAGAATCTAGAGCGTCAAAAAGAGGAAAATCCAGCAAAGTTGAATGCAGCAAGAGAGGAATTGGAAGAGGCGGGAACTCGAGTGGAGGCGGCCCGGGACGCTCTTGCGGCAGACATGTTCGCGCTAGTGGCCAAAGAAGCGCAGCTCGCGCACACATTGTTGCAGTATGTTAAATTGCAAAGAGCGTACCATGAGTCTGCATTACATTCCTTGCAAGACACCGTCCCTGAACTTGAGAGATTTATCAGTAAGTTTCGTTTGCTTTTTTTAATAAGTCTAAGTTACAAACAATTCAACTAAATTGGTAAGGTACTAATATAGTATTAAGAGCACCCAAACCAATAAGTATGTAAGTGGATGGATGATATGGGAGATGGATTCCCCCTATAATGGAAATTTGAAATCTTTGCTTACCCACTAGGTAACTGACAAGAGTTTTGTTGCTCTTGTATTAAAACAAATACAGTAATTGTTTGTATTTATATTGAAATATTTTTTTATTTAATCTGATAATGACTAATTACTGTAATATTTGGGTAAAGATCTATTAATTCTTTGTTCTCTTATCTCTATCACCTATTTGTTGTCATTAATGACACTTAAGAGATAAGTTCACTATCACTTGGTCTAAAGTAAACTGTAATTGACCATTGTTTGCTATTGCTATTTAAGATAGAATAACAATTTCATATTACATTTTCCTTAAAACTATTTTAAAGCTAGCTATGTTAAACTAGCTGTCGCCCACAACTCCGTCTGCGCAATATTAAAACCAAAAACTTAATAGCCTATGTTTATTCCAAACTATGTTCTAACTTTGCCAAATTTGCAGCCGTTTTGCAGATACCTTCTAACAAACATCCGTTCACGCATCCAAACATACGCTTTTACAATATTAGTAAGATAAACTTCACAAAGAGGTTTGCGTCATTAGTACAAAAACATTCTGTTGTCTCTTTTTTTCTTAGAGAATGAGTGGGATGACTATATTTCTATAGGTACTTCTACAGTGGACACACACACACACTATAATCAATTATCTCATAGACAGTAGAAGTTGATCACTATTAATTAATATGTGAGACATATCAATTCTGAGGAGTGAACAAGTAATTAATAGGCCAATTAAAATGAACTAACAAAGTTAGTTATAACATGAATTACTTATAATGATAAGTAATTCATGTTATAACACAAATGTGTGTTCAAAATTCATTAATTTTTTTTAAGCCCATATAAAGGTCACCATTAAATGTTCTCACAAAGGAATCAGTTGGGTCTCACAAAGTTGAGACGACGACGATACTCTGAATTTGACGTTTGATTTCTTTTTAATAAAAGTCAGTTTTTTTTTGTCCTTATCCTAACTCTATGTGGGGTTAATGCTCCAGTTTTTGTCGTCCAAATTGATCTATCTTTAATTTCAGTCATCACTCCCTTAATAATGACAATTTTTACGCAATTCTTTTATTTTTAACTATTAATATGTGTATTTTATTATTTATTTGTTCTATATAATTTGTTAGGCTTAGTTTCTTGTTTATCATACATTTGGAATGTACACAATTACCAATATGGTATTGAACCTCTAGGGTGTACTTACAGATGACAGCTCTGTGAAGCCAGTATTTGGATATCCGTTGGAGGAGCACTTGCGTGTAACAGGCAGAACGATAGCCTTCCCCTTGGAGCTGTGTGTATGCGCACTGCATGAACTGGCCCTTAACGAGGAAGGACTCTTTAGGATTGCTGGTGGTGAGTTACTCTGTTACTATTTTCGGTTGTTTAGCGTGAAAATATTGTTTACTAGATATGCACGTCCGATTCTCATATTTAAAAATAACAATGACTAATTCATACTATAATTATAAGCTTTAAATTAGAAATTCCTTGTTTAATTATGGTCTATTTATTCTTTATTTTTCGACCATTTCTTTTATTGTTTTTTTTTGTTTACTTTTTTCATTATGTACATTTTATTTTCTAGGTTTGTCAAAGGTAAGAAGGATGAAGTTGTCGTTGGACGCGGGTCTGTTCAACGTGCCGCTGCCGCGCGATTACCGCGACATGCACGTGGTCGCCTCCGTGCTCAAGTCATACCTGCGCGAGCTGCCGGAGCCGCTGCTCACATACCGCCTCTACGAGACCTTCATCAGCGCCTCGCGACAGCACGCAGAGCAGGCGCGCCTCAACGCAGTCTGGGACGCCATACATCTCCTGCCCCCACACAACTACCAAAACCTTAGGTATCTCATCAAATTTTTGTCTGCCTTGACACAAAATCAAAGCACAAACAAAATGACACCGTCCAACCTGGCGATAGTCATAGCGCCCAACCTGCTGTGGGCCGCCAACGAGAGCACCCTCGACATGTACATCACCAGTGCAGTCAATTGCGTCGTCGAGTTGCTCATCAAACACGCAGACTGGTTCTTTCAAGACGAGATCAACTTCTTCGTGACGTTTACCAAAGAGGATCTGTTGCCCGATCAGTGCGAGTACGGCTTCAGCCCCAACTTCGTCCACGGCTACAACCAGACCGCGGCGCTCGGACAGGATCAGTCGAACGGCGACTACAGCTCCATGAGCAAGTCCATGTTCGACTACAACCATCAGCCCGCGCACCACAAGGAGCCGGACGGCCCCGGGCGCCACTCGCGGAGCAACAGTCATGACACTAGCCTTATATTATTAGATAACGATATCAAAAAAGCTCAGTCCAACAGCTCCCTGTCCGACCAATCTAGTCCACCGCACGGAAGTCCCAAACCGACTATGAGACGGAAAAATAAAGCCCCGGTACCTCCCAACTTCACGCCGGATAAAAGTAAGCAAAAGGCGGAGGCGCAAACGCAGGTCGTTGACGGTACAAAGGAACAACACCCCGCCAAAGTCGACACCGAGAAGCCCGCCAAGCCGCCGCGGCCCGTGATCTCAGAAACCGGTAAAGTCATCACCGGCGTGCAGACGATCAACCGATCAACGTATAGACAGAGCAAGGCGTTCAAGGACGAGGCGGCCAAGAGCGGCAGTCGCGAAAACTTAACCGACATCCGCAGACAGAGCCTGGAGCTGGAGAAGGAGAAATTGGACAGTTTGAAACCGATAGAGAATCGAGATAAAGAGTCGACATTGGTTGTTAAAAACGTCACGGCCACAACTGGCATAGTGGGTAGAATGAAAGTGATAGGCGACGCGAGCAGCGGCCCCGCCTCCCTCGGCGCGGAGAGCAAAGGCGGCCCCACGAGGATACAGATCACGGCCAAGCCGACGGGCCAGCCGCCGCCCCGACCCGTAGCTGCACCGCGCACCATACTGCCGGGGACGGGAGCGGGCGAGGCGGAGGGCGCCGACGTGCAGCTGCGGCACAAACCCGCGGTGCCCGAGCGGCCCGCCACGCTGCGCCCGCAGAGCTTCCGCGCGCGCACCTCCGCCGACAATGCGGACATCGCTCCCACAACACTCGAGCGCACGCACATATACACCGTCGACAAGCAGCACCCCACCGTCATCCAGGTGGGTGGTGCGCATACTGACCCCGCGCCCGAGGAACCCGCGCGCAACACCGTCCAAAGAACTCACAGTTCCGGCGGCAAGGACGCCGAGCTCGAGGAGCCCAAGAGTCTAGGTGCCAGTCGGCAACTGTCGCAATCGGAGGGCAGTATCACGGAGACGCCGCTGTCGCCGCGCGCTCGTCCGCCACGGCCAATGGTGCCCGCGCCGCCACCGCCCGTAGCGCCGCCTCTCTCCCCGCCGCACCATGAGAGTACAGACCTCTAGTCCGCCCCCTACTGTACGCATGCGGCGTCGCGCCACGCTGCAAGTTGTAGCATGAGGCTTGTTCGCCTTCATGCTAACAATGTGGGTATGTGCACATATAATTGAGTATGGAATTGATTTTATAACCAAATTTTTAAGGCCTTAAATACAAAAGAACGAAGCTTTTAATATGTAAATTCATCAATGCAAATTTTGAATTCTTTTATATTGATTTTTTTTCGTATACTTTTAAAATGTAAAGGCTAACGTGCTACTTAGTGAACGCGCACGAATACATACGGAGATTTAAATACATGAGTGACGGATGTTCCATTATAACTTGTACCTTTATTGTTTGAGTAATATTTGACATCTATTCGTGTTATCAAGCATAATGACGATGCATTTACCATAGTCCATGTGACAGCAAAATTATCTTCACTTATTAATATTTAAAAATAATAATTTAGAGGTTTTTCGGCAATTTCATTGAAATATTAAAGTAACGAGGCTGGGTACTCGTAATATATTCTCTGCATTTTACACTTTATTTCTATATATTGTATAAGTAAAGTGTCCTTGTATATGTATTTAAATCTTTGAATGCAGTATTGGTAGAAATATAAAATTAAAAACGGTCGCAAAATGCTTTGCCGCTAAAATTAAGATGAACGATTTAAAAAATCGCAGACTGATGCCCTCTATTTAGAAATAAATCATAGGAATCGGCTGATAATCGAGTATTACTAGTGCAAATAGAAATCAATAGTGCATAGTATGGGTCAAATATTTTTTTAATCTTATATTTATAAGTACACGCATCATTATTTCAATATATAAGTGATGTCACAGCAAAGCTTTTGTATTGTACTGAGTGACATCAGTCCATGGGGTATTGTACTTGAGTTGTTACGATACTGCCTTGTGATATTAGGGAAGAATTGACAGTCCGGAGTCCATGATGGGGCGATGCACAAAACGTAACGAGTTGTATTATGTGTAGCCATATTTTTATGATATTTTATAACTTGACAGTGCATTAGTTAATTATTTTAGCAGCGCTATTACAGTGACTATAACTCTAGGCTAAACTATGTTATGTAGTATTTACGACGTTTATGTGATACGCATTTTATTATATACTGCAAGTATACAAGCTTCTGTTGTAAGTAATTATAACGATTATATTCCGATAATTCATGTTTTTTATTTAATTTTTATATACATACATTTATTTTATGTTTGCCACTTCACTATGTAATAATTCCGTTTCCCAACTCGGAGTAATGATATTAAATTTGGTAGAATGTGTGCAGATTCCGTGATAACTTCATTGATATTTTTTATTCTTTGATGATTTATATAGAAGCCACCTGCTTCAATTATCCTCATAGCATCACCTTAAATAGAAAAAGATTGAATTAATTTTTAATAATAGAACCGATGGACACAATTAGCTGAAAATATAACAAATGGGATTCTTCAATAACTTATAATTAAAAGAATTGTACTAACCTTCTGTAGGGAAACAGTTGGCCATCATTCCTAACTTAAGCACAGTGATGCCGGGCGACAGGAGTAGTTTTGTGACGGGTGCACTATCAAACACTTGTTCTAAATCCGATGCGCTTAGTGACACTAGAGATTTTACATCCTTACTGTATATTGCATTGGTGGCTTGTCGAGCTCGTGTTAGACCTTCCTCTGTAACATATTAAAAGAAATATTCAAAAGACAGTCTTGTCTCATACACATTATAATGTCATGTTGATGTTACCAAGCAATTGTGAATACTGTGAGCTTGTAATTTACCATGGCTAATTGCATTTTGAGCAAATTAATTAGCAAAGTGACATGTTTACAATGCTTTGTAGAAGTGAATAGGAACTGAATAGTAGATTACTGTAAATATGAACTTTACCTCCATGCACCAAAGTAGTAAGTTGATCAGCTAAGCACATCTGTGGATATCTTTGTTCCGGATGATGTTTATGCTTAAACATAATATCTTTGATCTCTCCCATACTGTAGAAAGTGAAGAGCTTCAGTAACCGTTCCACATCTGAGTCCTTAGTCCTGATGAAATATTGGTACAAACTGTATGGACTAGTTTTTTTCCCATCCAACCATAGGGCATTTCCAGCTGATTTGCCAAATTTATCACCTTCCTCTGTTGTCACTAATGGCAGTGTCAAACCTGCATCAAAAAGTACTTTTAATATTCTCAATCACACATTGTTTTTAAATTTTTGCATAAATATATGAGAAATAAAAAGACCTTACCATAAACATCTTGTTTCATCATTCTACTAATTAGCTCATGTCCAGCTGAGATGTTACCCATTTGATCACTTCCACCAACCTTGAAGTCATAGATTAAAAAATATTAAATTTACACTACACTGTATATCACAAAGATTGTTTATGCTATTGTGTGACAATTTAGAGTGTTTTACTAAAACAGCCTGCCAGTATCTTTACTATTCAAAATAGATTTTAATTTAAATAAAAGCAAAAAAAAACATTGTTGAATAAATTAAAAATGAGAGAGTATTTCAAAAACCTATTGTATACTGACCTGAAATCTACAATTATATTCTTTTAATAAATATAACCAATCATAGGACTGAAATATTTGATATGCAAATTCAGTGAAACTCATTCCCACTTCAGAGTTAATCCTGTTCTTAACACTTTGCTTTAACAACATTGTTCCCATTCTAAAGTTACGACCAATATCGCTTACAAACTGTATTGAATTGATCTCTTTGTACCAAGTTTCATTATTCACGATCCTGGAATATTTAAAAATGAATAAGAAATATTCAAATTTACCATTTATTACCTCATTATTAAAAAAAATATAATTTACCTTATAGGTTTTAATTTGTCTTCATCTTCTGACCAAATATATTTCTTGTGGTTTTCAAATACTGTTTCTAGGTTACTTTTTATGCAAGCAATATTTTCAGCTATTATGTTACTTGATAAAGCTACACGGTCTGTACTTTTTCCACTTGGATCACCTATATGTCCTGTTGCACCACCAAGCTGTAAGACATTTTTACTAAACACTACACATAAATAAGAAAATTTACTAACATCACTAAACATTAAGTGTTCATGGACAAATTAATAATTAAACAGTCTTACCAATGCAATAACATCATGACCGCCCCTTTGCCAATGTAATAAGTTAATAATGACTAAGAGATTTCCAACATGAAGACTGTCAGCTGTAGGGTCAAACCCAGCGTAGACACATTGTGGGGAGCTATTCAACAGGTTTAGAATGTCTGATCTGAAGTTTAGGAGAATATTTCATTCATAAAAATTTATATACAAAAGTACCGATTCTAAAGTCGTTTACTTACGCTGCTGTATTTGGAAATATATCTTGATACATTCCTCGATCTTTCAATTTCAATATATTTCTACTATATAATCGTACGCATGTTTGTGTTATATTTCTGCGATAAACGCGACAGAAATGCTTGAAGTACAACATTTTACCAATTATATTGTTACTGTGTAGGTTAGAAAAGCATTCGATAATTTAAATTGAATTTATATGATAACATTCATGTTATTTCTTGTCCAATTTTACCATTCGTAAGTTATGTAATCTTGGCGATACTAAAATAAAACAGACTTTGCTGTTTTATTAAAAAAATAATCTTTAAGACACAGTTTACAACTTTTGACACAAAAACTGACAATTGACAGATGCTTCACAGCTGAAAAAAGTTTCATCTTATGCATTTTTTTATCAAAGATTACAACAAATCAGGTTTTCGCCAACATTTTGGCAATACTTCTTTAATGCTGCAAATCATACACACTAGTCATTTACTTTTCCTGAAATCTGACCATTGTTACTAGAGGATTATTTAAAAAGCTCAACGATTTCATTATTCCCATACTCCTTTCACTATCAAGCTTAAAATCCCTTTAGCCTTGTATATGCCATAAAAATAAGGGTCAAGGCTGCAAAAGAAACAGGGCAGAGTTAATAAACCAACCAAGTTAATTTCTAGTTTTTATTTATCTATCTATAAAATAGCCATTTAAGGATATATTACACACTCGTTATTCACAAAAGCTTTGGAAAATATTCATAACTATCATTAAACACTTTTACATTATAGTAACAATGTGAATTTGCATTTAGATCTAGAGATATTTATGGATTTTAAACAAGCAACCAGGGAAATTAACATACAATTAGACCTATATGAGTGTTATACAATTTAAAAAAACTAGGGTAAATTGGATAATGTCTTACTGTGGATTTTGACTGACAAAATTGACACATATTACCATCCCTTTTACTCACGTGGACAAATACAGAGAAAAAAATATGTGCAATACAAGTCATGTTAATCAAAGTTCACAGTAACAAAATTTTAATGTCAAATCTTAACTTTAATTATGGAAGTAATCATACTTATAAATTAATAAATAAAAACTAACATGCATGAGAATGGAGTCGAAAACTAAATATTCGGATTCATTTTTTTGTTATCCTATAAAATATCCTTTCAAAAATACTAACTTTCTTATATTACAATTTGCACACAATAAAATGGATTACTGAATACTTTAAAAATAAAACCTAAACATCGAAATTAATCTTCAAGTGTGACGTTTTTGAACAGATAAGACATAGATTCTTTGTTATGAATGCGTCTGATCGCTTCACTGAGCAGTACAGAAATGTCGATTGTTTTGATTTTGTTGCACTGCATTTTCTGGAGCTCATGTGGTACAGTGTTGGTCACCACAACTTCGTCTATCGGCGAATCTTCAATGAGACGCGGAGCATCAGATGACAGAAGGCCGTGTGTTGCCAGCACATATATTTTGTAAGCGCCACATTCCTTTAAAACTTCTGCCGCAGCGACAAAAGACTGAACATCGTCAATCATATCATCCTATTACAAAAAAAATTGTAACAAATAATTTAAATAGTCATTATGTATCTGAAAATTCAACGTCTTATTTAATGTACTGTTTCTTATTTATAGTAAATTTATTCATTATATAAATAAAAAAAAAACAAAAATTAATAAAGTGTAAAATGTCAAAAACTCTTTCTAATTCATTTCATTTTATGTTATCAATATTTTTAAATATAAAAAATAACAACTCACGCCCGTAAGCCAGAAGTGTAGACAAAGACCACAGATCTCTATTTGTTGTGGTCCAGACACATCTCTTTTGCTTCTACATTCATACATCTATGCATATATGTACCTCAGTTGCAGGTATAAAAAATAACTTACCACCATAATAGCGATCCTTCCTCCTACATCTCCAACAACATTGATAGGTGGCTTCTCCTTAGCAGGATGTACTGGCACACCTACTGACACATCCATTGTGCGGGACCTGTCAACACTAAAAACACCCTCAGATAATTAGTCATTAAACTAACATAGTTCAAGTTTGACAACATTGAAACAAAAATATATTTAAAAATGAACATAATTGCAATAATATTAATTGGTATTTCTAGAAGAAATAAAAGTTGAAGTCATCAGAAAAAAAGCTTTGCGAGTTTTTAACAAGGATGATAGGCCAAAATGAAAAGATTCAAATTGCTTATAGTATTATATGTTTATTTTAATGTATTATGAATATTAAAATAATATTTCTATTAGAAAGATGACTACTATATTTTTAATACTAATAATATAAAAACTAACCTTGGAATGCAAGGTGGCGAATACCGCCCATCAACTTCATCACTTTCTGCTTCTTTCTGTTCTCCGTGAATTACGGCAATCCCAAGACGCAATCGCTCAGCGTATGATGTAGCCTTCTTAGCAGAGCCTGGGTTACGAGCCACTATCACTGAATTACGGTAATCAGGTATCTGTGAATTAGATTGATGTTCCTAAATAACTTATAAATCACTGTGTAAATGATGTCCCATTGACTCTAAATGAAACCAATAGTTCATATTTTGTTATAATATGTTCCTATTATTGAGTAATTTATTGTTATATTAAACATGCCATGACACATATAATTGAGATGAATAATTTAGTACTCTTATTTTGCATTCATGGTATAGTTATTTTCAAATATCTTGGCGGCCCAAGGTCATTGTGCAGTGCCCTCTCCTGCAACCTAATATGTTCCTTTACACCTGAAAGTTAAGAGCCGCCAAGATATCTGAAAACGCATTTGATAGAAATGTAGATCAATAACTCACACTTTCTTGAATGTACTGCAATAAAAATGGTGAAGCCCTCAAGTTGTCAACTGGACAATCATAAAATCCCTGTATTTCCTTTTGATGGAGATCCATAGTGATGATGTGAGTTAAGCCAGATTTGCACATCATCTGTGCCAAAAGTTTTGTAACAATGCACCCGCGTTTCCTCATTTTGCACTGTTTGCTGTATGGTAAGTATGGAATAACCCCAACAATGGATCGAGCCGATGATGTTTTGCATGCATAAGCCATGATTAATAGTTCCATTATATTGTTGTTTACATCCCTGAAATAACCACACTTGAATAACTCTAATATATATTTTCTCAGCTTGTTTGTCATTAAAAGTTAAATATTATTTATCATGAAAATAATATCTCATGCATTGATGTCAAAAATATCTCATATTATTGATAATTATTTCATATAAATTAATTGTTTACAGTCAAACATAGTAAGAGAGAGCAATAGTTGGTTACTTTGATTACCAAAAGACAACTTACTTAGTACCAGTTTGGACAATGTAAATATTTTTGCCTCTAATAGAATCTGCAATTTCCACCATAGTCTCTCTGTTAGTTTTATGGTATACTGAACATCCTCCTTTACGTACGCCAAGGCGGCTGTTGAAATAAGAAATGATTAAAATGGACACAAAAGGTGAAATTATTTGAAAATATTTGATAAAAAAATAGATATTTACTCTGCGATCAGATCAGCTAATTCAGGATGCGAATTACCGCTTAAAATAACAATGTCCGACGTGGAATTGCTCTCCATATTGCTATTGCGGGAATGATTTGTAAATCCAACCAACCTAAGAAAGAAGAGTACATGTGAATGCGATAAAGTATAAAACATGGAATTATAAATGGGCGAGGATAAGTTAGCACGAGAGATCAAGAAGAAAAACAATAAACCTGGTTTTGTTGAGTAACATAATAACCTGAAGGCAGTCTTGAACAACAGCCTACTTTAAATGAATGTTACAAATTAAATGATTAATCAAATGTAAGCAGATGAGATTTTCAGCGGCAATGCTCAGATCTCACAAATTGATGATACTGGATTTCTGCAAAGAAATAATATTAATAAAAGCGAATTTAGGAGAATAAAAATGTTTTAATCATTTTAACGACAGCAAGACAGCGATATTAATTGTCAAAGAATAAAATAGCCCACAGTGTATATGTATAGTTTTCTCAATGAAATGTTGCGTTTTTTATCAAGAAACTTGGGACTCTTGGGTCAGTCCATTACCACACTAAATATATTTTTATCCAAATATGGTCTTGCTCATTATTCTTGCAAAATATACCGAGGGAAATGCGGAAATTGAAAAGAAGAAAATCTTTTTCTTCAACACTAACACTCTTTGTGTCTTATGTCAAAGTCACTGTCAAAAGTAATATCCCCGTTTCCTCCACCTTCCCCTTCAAACATTCAAAACAATGTGGATTTTTTAGAATATGTGGTTTTTGGTTATTTAGAAAAAATACAATAAAATGGGCCTAACAAAGCAATATTTGCGTTATGCTCCAAGTGGTACATTTAATATTATTGCCAGTGCGGATTGTAATAGCGCACACGTTTCATTAAATGGAATCAGTGGAAGATATATTGCGGTTGGAGCATGTGAGCATGTTATTATTTGGGATATGAGGATAGGAGAAAAGGTAAGAGGTTTTTTAAAACTAAAGTTACTAAAAAAAGTATAAGAAACTTTATCAATTCATGTACTGAACATTAAAAATCATTATTGTTTTAAGGCTCAAGTAATTCCAGGAGAGAATGTAGTCGTATCTCAAATAGCTGCGAGTCCAACAGGCAACCACATGGCTGTAGGTTATGTTGATGGCAATATAAATGTATTTGAGTTGACTAACAATGAGATTGTATGTGTATTTGCTGGTCACAAGTCTCCTGTTACCAGTTTGCAATATGACGAACAGGGCCACAGAATTGTCTCTGGATCTAAGGTAACACCTAACCAATGGCTAACTTAGTTTTATAATTTATTTAAGGATGTAATTTGATGAAGGATGTATGTTATTCAAAATTCTTGTGTTTAATTCTACTGTGATTTTTTTTAAAAACCATCACTCCAAACCGTATCTTGTCCATATGTCAACCATGTTAAGTGAATTGATGGTGGAAAATTAGTATGCACTAATTTAGCCAATTAATTTTTATAAGACATACTGACAATTGAAAAATGTGTTCAATAAATTATTCTGTTTTAGGATACTGAAGTAATTCTCTGGGATGTGGTGTCAGAAACCGGTGTGGCTCGATTTAGTGGACATAAAGGAGCAATTACAAGTGTACTATTTATTAATGGTAAAAATTGTATAATCAGTTCATCCAAAGATACATTTGTAAAGTTCTGGGATATTGAAACTAAGCACTGTTTTAAAACACTAGGAGGACATCAAGTAGAGGTAAAAATTTAATATAACTTTTTTCTTATACAATTTATATTAAAGTAACTATTGCCTGCGACTCCATCCGTGAGCACATATAAAAAAACTTAATATATAGATAAGTTAAATAACAAAGTGATCCTATAAGGGTTCCGATTTTTTCCTATGAGGTACGGTACCCTAAAAAGCAGCTCTTCAAAGCATAAATGCGAAGAAAAACTAGTATCCTATGGACATAGGATACTATTTTTTCTTTTTTTGGTGAGACGGACGTCTCCTGGCTCTAAGCAACCTCCTCACCAATTTTCACCCATATCGGTAAAGCCATTCTTGAGTTATAAATAGTGTAACTAACCCGACTTTCTTTTATATATGTAGATATAGATATACAAAATGTAGCATAAGCAGGGGGGCATTTACATATGGAGTATCTTTAAAATCAAAATTGAAAGAATTTAAATTTTTCATAACAAAATCCAAGTATATCCTATATTTATCATTTATTTTTATGTACTTTAGGTATGGTCTGCAGTATTATTAAAAGAGGAAAGATATTTGGTAACTGGCAGCATGGATCAGGAATTACGTGTGTGGAAATTGAACTGGACAGACAAGATGAAAGAAGAAGATAAATTAGTACAACAACTTGAAATAGTGAAGATTGAAGAGACAGATAATACCGAAGATACTTCAGTAAGGGACATCCTGTTTCCATTTATTTATGACATAATTTTGAAATAAAAGCAAAACAAATAATTTTCATCTAACTTTTCAGTTTGATTTTAATTATTAGCTGTGGTCTGTTATTTAATTTTGTGATGAAACTAAGATGGTTCAATTTATTTTTTATCTGTTTTATTACATTCATATATAGTTTTTTTATGTATAAATCGTTTTTAGGTTTTGCAATGTCACCAAGTAGGAACATTAGTACGTGGCGGTAGAGGACGAGTGGTAGGACTGTGCACGGACCTCGGACAGACTGTACTCGGTTGTTTTGGCACGGACTCACTATTAGAGTTGTTTATCTTCTGCTCTGATGATGAGGCAAAAGCCAGGATGACTAAACGAGTTAAGAAGCAGAAGAAGAAACTTGCGTTAGTATTTTTTCTTTATTTTAGCATGATCGACATGTCTTAAAATATCTAGTTGTATTTTTTTTACTGTAGTTTAGTATAATTTTAAAACAAATATATAGTAATAATGAATAACCTGCTTAAAAACTTAATTACTTTATAATAAGTATTTCAAAACCCTGTACGCTAACCTAAATTTGAATAAGAAGACGAGTAAATATTGAGTAATAATTCAAAATAAATACTATCCTGTATCAATATAATAATATATTAAAAATTATTTGTACTAAAAACCAGTAAGCTGAAAGAAAGTGGTGAAGCTGATGGAGATATGGTTGAAGTGAAGGAACTGTTGACACTATCAGATGAGGTGCGGCGTCTGACATCAGTCAAACTGTCAGCTAAGATCAAGTCAGCCAGTTTACTGCTCGGTATGACGGGCGAGTTGAGAGTGGGCGTCACATTGGCTAATAATACTGTTGAAATGCATAGCTTGAAACTAGGAGAGGAAAGTGATGGTAAGCATGTTCATTTATCAAAAGCTAAAAAAAGAAAAAAATCTTTTTATATACCAGAAGTAAAACGCAGGCAATCGATCCATAGATTTTGGTGTTGGATTACCGTACAGTATAAAAAATGTACTTTTTCAGTGAAATGTTTAAAACAAATAACGCAGCCGGGGCACCAGAAGGAGCCGCGCTGCGTCGCCATTAGTTCAGACAACCTCGCCATTATCTCCGCAGCCGCTGACTCTATTAAACTGTGGAACCGGTATGTATTTTGACAGTAACAGACCGATCTTATCTGAATAAATTTATGACTATGCAAAATGACTTGTTTCAAAGATCTTAATGTTAGATATTAGATGTCAAACCTAAAAAAGCGAGAAACCTCTATAAGCGAGAGTTATTGTCTTGTCCCAACAGACGACCTCCATAAGCGAGAAATCTGTTTAGAGAGAAACCTCCATAAGCGAGAAAAATATGACATTTCCTTAGATTCTCGCTCTTGGAGGTTCAACTATAAATCAGTTTGTACAATATAGGACAAGTCAGGCTTGTATTCGCACGATACCGGTGCCCTGTGGGCGGCCGTGCGCCGTGTGCTTCCTGCCCGGAGACCGGCACGCGGCGGTGGGATGCGCGGATGGCACGCTGCTGTTGATTGACGTGGCTGCAGCCACCGTCTCAGAGCAGATACCCGCGCATACCGGCGCTTGTAACTCCGTTGGTCTACTGCCGGATCTCGTTAGTATATTAACTCATGACGCTGATCACAATTTTTAATATCGACACGTAATGGATGCGGAATACATAATTGCTTGCAAGCTTTTTTAACCAACTACGAGTCGTAAAAAAAGTTTAAATCATATAATATTAGTTACATAGTCCTATGTTTTTTTTATTTTGCTAAGATTTTTTTTTTATTTTAGTAGTAAGACTTGTGATATTTCTAGCGCGGATGCTACACCGGCGGCGCGGATAAGACGGTGAAGATTTGGCAATTCGAGCTCATACCAGACCCCACGGGAGATTCCAAAGCAAAGGTAAATTTAGTACTTATTTTGTAAGACGTAAGGTATATTTTTGAATGGGTTTTTTTAATCTTCTTTTGTTGTCTAGGTTCTCTCCCTCCTTCACACGAGGACCCTGGAGCTGGAGGAGGCGGTGTGTGCAGTCAGAGTCAGCCCTAATAACAAATTCATTGCAGTTGGATTAATGGATTCCACTGTCAAAATATTTTTCCTTGATACTTTCAAGGTCTGTTAAGTTTGCTCTTTGTTATTGTCGTATAATTGCTTTCATTCCTTCAACTAATCGATGCATTGAAAAAAATAAGTTTACTTAACGACAATTTTTTTTTCTTATTAAATACCAATTCGTTATTTTTTTTTCAGTTCTACTTATCCCTATACGGTCATAAACTGCCAGTACTCTGCCTAGACATCAGCTACGACTCTACTTTGATAGCAACAGGTTCCGGAGACCGTAACGTCAAGATCTGGGGCATGGACTTCGGAGACTGTCACAAGTCAATATTCGCTCACAATGACTCTGTGACAGCGCTACAGTTTGTGCCCAGTACACATTATCTGTTCACTGCCTCCAAAGATGGCAAGATAAAGCAATGGGATGCTGATACATATGAAAATATTATCACATTGAATGTAAGTACATTTAAGCTTTATAAGCGATAAACCTCTAAAAGCGAGAGTCATTTTCCGGTTCTCTTAAAACGAGAAGCTCTGGTTAGAGAGAACAAAGTTTTCATACATTTGAAGTTATTTTAGAATGTGTATTTTGAATTCTAGAATGAGTCCTATTGGACTCTTTAGAAAAAAAATAAGTTTAATAAAATATAACCTATTAGCTGTCGCCTGTAACTTTGTCTGCGCGGAAATAAAAAAATAGTAGTCCATGTTCTTTAAGACTGTTGTTCTACCTCAATGCCAAACACCGAATCTCATGCAGCCGTTCTGAAAATACCTTTTATGAAACATTCATCCATACATCCAAACATCGACTATAATATTAGTTATCTTACTTCTTATCTTGCTAATGTTATAAATGCGAATGTTTAGATGGATGGTTGTTGTTTGAAGGTATCTTCCGACCAGCTGAACGGATCTCGCTAACATTTGACATAGATGTAAAAAGTAGTCT